TTTTTTTTTTTTTTTTTTTTGAAAACCTACTGATGCGAAATGTAAATTTGTGAAAAATCATTTGAGTTGAAAATTTTAATATTTATCGAACGTTATGCATAAACACATGGACGTATTTGCATAATATATAACATAACAGAATAGCAGACCTCGACAATTGTTGCAAATGTCAGGAAGAGGCTTGAATTGTTACTTCATGAGTTCAAATTAAGGACAATTAGAAGCCTGCAATTAAAACGCAGACGCGAATCAAGTTTTTCTAATAAACTATTGAGACATTTATCAATATGAATGAATATAATTGATATAATTTTATTTTTACATAATGGTTAAACATGTGAATATTTATCTGTGATAATGCAACATTGACAGTGGAAAGAACTGATAAAAATTCAACAAATATTAATTTTTAATATGTATGAGCTACTTATACAATGCAAAGATAAAAATATTGATAAAATTTTATCTGTAAAAGATGATCTGAAAATGAAATTATTACAATAATAAAATTTTATTCGATTTTTCATGTTTCTCTCGACACATCAATCCTCGAAATAAATTTATTGACATTTTCCATTTTAAAGTTCAGAAACCATAGAGACTCGTTTGAAATTTTCCACGATCGATTTATTAGATAGCTTGGGATAATATCCCTAATTTCTCTGCCTTATTTTCTTTGGAACTGGCACTAATCCAACTAAATGTTTATGAGAAAGGGAAAAAATGTCAGACACATTCCGCTCGAATTAATATCTCGCAGACAATTTTTGTTTCTCTTCATTGTATTGTTGGAAAAACAGAACATTAAATAGTACTATATTTTAATCTATGTGTTCACGCAAGTAATTCCCTTGCTTCCAAAAACAAATAAAAAATACGTAAGGCTTGCGTCACTCGATATTTTACGAAGAAACACAATTTTAAGAACTAAGAATCTCTTCAGTCTAGGAATAAATTTGTTCCAATACCAAAATCTACAAAATAAATATCAACACAATTATTTCAACCTGCTCAATAAAATTCATTTTGTTTACCCTGCACAACTTTACAAATACATTCGGTCATCGCCATCGATAATTTTCTTCAACGCACGATCTTTTTGTGAATGATATCTCGCTACCAATCACTTATTGTCAGGAATAACGTTTCTCTCGCTTAACCTTCCATTATCAAACACCCAATCGCGACGAAGGAATAGAGAATACAACTCGATCCGCTTGATAACCTCTGATAAGCAGCGTAGGGAAATTTCATACATTGGGAAGTATCTTTGAAAGGAGAAATTCGCGCGCGGTGAAAGCCAAAGCTTTGTCCAGAGACAAAGTAGGACTTGGACTTCTCCGTTTTATCAAGGAGGGGAGAAAATAAAAAGGGAGAAGATGAAGAAAAAGACGCCTCACCTTGACCATTTTCGCAGGTGACGGATTCGGGCCGAGGTTCACGGCCGGTACCAACTCGTGTGTCGAACCTGCTCGCAATCGTAACAACACCCTCCAGTGCTCCTGTCCAGCAACCGTCTCGGCCTTCACCGAGACGAGGACCGGCCCGTTCTCTCCGTCTCTTCCCACCAAATTCACGTGCTCCTGCAAGAAGGAAACAGAGAGAGAGAAAAATAAAAGAAACGTCCAGGCTGAATAAAACGAAGCAGCGGGTCGGTCTCGTTTTACGATCGAGGCCGACCCGGTCGAGAAGAGGTCTGCCAGCAGGCTTATGCGAAATTCAGCTCGACTCTTTCATGTCCTTCCGCATCGAGTACGTACGTGAAAAGTGACAACATTTTCGCGTAGGTCAAAAGTGCTAAGGGTGTTGCACGTGCTCCGGAAAAGATCGAGGAAGTTACGATCGCAAGATTCTGCGACACCGGTGGAAAAAGAAACAACATGCAACATATCGCACGATTGCGACGAAAGTGGAGAGAGAAAAACGTTTCATGTATGCTTTTGAATGCAATTGTAGACGTTTATTCATTTACGATACATTTAAAGATGTTACAAGATCGTTTAATAATAATTGAGAAATTTAGCAACTTCTCTTGGTTCTTAATAGTTTCGTCAATAGAATCTGAATTACGTGCTTATTATCTTGTGAAATACTAATATAGTTGGAAAAAGTTTGCTTGAGCATTTGACATTAAAATAAAAATGAATTTATATCAGCGAAGTAGCTGGGTCCAAGACAATTTAAGACTCGCCCATTTGATGAAGATGCTCAACATAGTAAGTAATTTGTGTATGATATTATAAATTGCAAAAATATTTGCATATAATATTACAAATCGCAGTGTCGGTTATTCAACTGTTATTAGACCGTCGAATTTTATGCAAATCTGCAAATTTCCTACCAAGCTCACATTTTCTTAACCCTTAACTGATATCAGTTGGATATTATAGCCACGCGACGAGATATCGATACGAATAAAATTTTTTAATTTCTAATGTTTCAAGATGTAATTATACGCTCGGATGTATAAGATGTATATTGTTAGATGACATGACGTACTATGTGTTTTGTGTTACATAATACGCATTATGGCGTAGCATGTTCCACTATCATTATACGTTAGGGCAACGTGTTACGTTATATTACGAAGCTTAGGGATACACTTATCAAAGGAATATGTCACTCGAGAGATAATTGGACCAAACAGCAAGTACTTGAAATACTATACGACGACGTAAAGGAATTAATATATATATTCAACATTTATTTATCACATAAATAAAATTTACATCTTTTTACATTTTTTAGAAGACAGTGACTATGGTTTCCACGGTATACGTTATAAAATTCATACGACAATCAACTTCTCCTACTTTCTTTCGTACGTTTTACAATTTCTCACAATTTCTGCTTAAATAATCTCCTTCACATCGCATAAACGATGTTTTTCCTCGTGTATCTCTGATAATTCAATTGTCCCGATAAGAAAGCAACCACCGACGCTAGAATCTCGTGGGAGATCTAGTGAATTAAAAGGAAAAACAACTCGTCGAATCAATATTAATCATCACGATAGAAGACGTCGGCATAGAAGATACAATTTTCCAAGTGGAAATTCTATCAATTTCCCAAGTGAAATTTTTTTATTTCATCGGTCGTGTCATAGATTTTGAAAAGACTCGCGACTGCCGGCGAATTTTTTTTTTTTTTTTTTTTTTTTCCTAAGACTGATTTGCGACTCATGCGAGCGTTGCGCTGTAAGTTTATTGTGCACGCTCGCAACAAGAGCAGGATGCGTGCACGCATGCACGCACAATGAGCCCACAAATCTACGCGGTGACGCAACCATCAAGGAACTCCCATTGCACGCGTAAAACGAGAAACATAGCTGTACGTATGGCTCGATCCGGAGTCGTTACTTTGCATAGAATGTCCGAATGATTCACAATTTTAATTTCAGACGCGTGAGTGATTAAATATTCAAAGACGGGAAAAAAAATTTTGTAGCAGATTATCATAGTGATGGATTTGATGATAGAATGATAAAATAATGATAGATTAATCATTGACGTTATTTGTAATTTTGAGAAATTCTATTACGTCTCGTGATAAATTCGTTCATTTCTTATTTTGAGAAATATTGTGAAAAACGTACGTGAGCACAACATTAGAATTTTCAAAGTGTTCTTCGTTCGAATGGTGGATATTTTAAAAAAAATATTGCAGGTAAACGGCACGAGAGAAATTAATATGAATAAATGTTGTTTGCAATTGAATCATTTGAAAGAAAAGTAATTTACACGTGGTGAAACAATCATTCGTTCCTGTAAAAATAAAATTTCCTTCACGATAAATATAAATATAATTCAATATTAGCAATATTGAAATTTTTTGAGGCACAGAACAAAAGCTTTGAAATATATAATTAAATAAAAAAGAGATACTTCATTTATTTGCAAATAATAATAAAACGAAAAAATATATATGCTACTGATTAAAGATTAAGAGTATGTAATGATCGATAATATATTTCTTTTAAATATAAATGAACTTATTACACAACGTAATACTTTATTAAATTTTTGGCATTTCATTACAGAAAATCTGTTAATTACATTTCACTAATTTATTTTAATGTTATATTTCGTTTAATTTATTTTTATTCCACTGAATAGCTTTTACAAAATATTTTATATCACAATAGCCATAAAATTGGTAATACGAATAAAATAATGTCAAGAGAAAACAACGGAGCAATTACGATGAACGAAACAATACAAACAAAACACATTGTTAATTAATATGTAATTACTTGTTTATATTTCTCCAAATTAAAGAGACATAGAAATAATTCTATTTGTTTGTACGCGGCTGAAAAACAATTGTCAATTTCGCCATTGTTCAATTGTTGCACACAGAGCAGTAAAACAAACGCGACTCTTCCACGTAGAAATGCACGAACTTCAAAAAGATTCACATTTGAGGATAATTAAACGACTTGTTAGAAAAGACTTTTATGTTGGAACGTCGAATTATTGATAACATTATCTCTAGACACGATAATATCGCGGTAAAGCGTTTCCTTTTTCACACGATTAATTCTATTCAATCGAATTCTATTGACACCCGACTGTACGTTCTTTCGTTTCTGTTATTTTCAGCAATTTTATTGCGGCGGATAGAGAACGAGTCTGATATATAAAAAAAAAAAAAAGGATTGAATAAAAAAAGAACAATGATCAATGATCCACTTTTTTCAAAGCAGCAATTTATTCTCTACAAGTTAAGAAATTTAAAAATTATTCATTATTTACATTTCCATGACGTTTCTCCGACTTCATATTTTCACAATGGCGAAACTGATAATTGAAATTGTTTCACGCAGCAGACATAATCACGCAAATGAACGAATACCTTCTTCACGAACAACTGAGACACGAGAGCATTCACGTTTTCGAAAATACGTACAGCATTGAGAAAAAGAAGCGTCGTGAGAGAGAGAGAAAAAAAAAGAGAGATTACGTTTCGTAATCGAAATTACG